AAGGTCGCGCGCAGCGCACATCTCGCAATGAGGCAGCTCTGCTATTGGAGTGCGGTTCAAGGTCAAAACCGGCCACTCTGCATCCAGATGCCATTCAGCTCCGTCCAAATTCTCCTGAACTAAAATTGAATTTCCCAAGGGACAAGGTGGCTGATGGTTGATGATCAGGCTGCGAAGGCGGTCAATGCGACCTGTCATGAAAGTCAGCTGTCTCAGCTGAGATTCCATCATGATAGCCATGACATTCGCGGCTCGGCGCTCACCTAAGAGCAAGTCACGCTCATGTCCAACTTCCAGCAGCTGCAAACGATATCGTTGAGTCTCATCCAAAAGAAGCACGCGCAGCTGTTGAGTTCTTCATCATGTCGATCATTTCGATCTTGCAGCCTATCCAACCTGGCATATGCATCATCCAGGGTGATTGCTTGACGGGCACGTTGGGCTCGCAGGCCACGTCTGTAGCCAAAAGCGTAGGCCAAACAAAAGAGCAGCATGACCAAAATGGTCAGAAAAATCCAAATTCCCCATCGTCCATGTTCATGGTCCAATGGCTCATGCAAGGCGGCAGCAGCTGGTAGCGCAGTGTAGCACGTAAGGGCATACACAATCATCTTGACATTCGCAGGGACACCAGCATAGGCCTCCACAGGCTCATAGGGCTCGTCAAGCTCCTGCTCATACTTTTCAGCGTCGCACTCTTCAAACATGTTGGTGTTGAGTGGTGTTTCAGTTGTAGGTGTTGATTGGGTTGTTGAGGTTGAAAGCGTAGTTGGTTGTAAATCACTTTTCTTCTCCTTCGGTATTGCAAACTCATTTCTACTGGCTTCTCGCTCTTCCGCAGTCTTCTTCTTTGAACTGACATACTGAGAGTCCCAAACCAATTTCATCTTGTGGAACCTGATGCGCTCGGCCAGCAAGGATCGAGAGCTCATCTTGGTGAGTGAGTCAGCATATTGGCGTTCACTGCTGACCCATCGCAAACTTCCACCCAGAGAGGAAACTTGTTCACGGGCAACTCTGATCTCAAGGCCAGTGCGCTTGTCCACAGACGATGATCCAGCCAAACTCTCCTTGTGGTAGGAGTCGTACAGGGCCTTTGCATCTGTGATGAGGCATGGTTTCAAAGTGGAAACCTCATCCATGCAGTCGCGCAGCTTCTCAGTTGGCCGTCGCAAGCAAGACCAAAAGCGAGCGATATACTCGGCAATGTCTGCTGACTGGTCACACGCTTGAGCCTCTGCACTGAGACTGCTGCGGGCTACCCGTGGGAGCTTGAAACTCCTCCATTCGAGCACATGGTAATCAGTTTCAGTTTGAAAAATCTCATCAGTGGTCAGGAAGGCCAGGTATCCCCCTTGAGAGGTATGGTCCTCTCGCACGCCATGGGCTGCATCGAACATGATGCAAAGGCGCAGGTCACTCAGGCTGTTGATCTTCAGGGGCACATAGCGCAAGCGCAGATCAAGGTTCTGCTTGGCGAACTTGAGCAGCTGGTTGGCCTCAATTATGGCTCTCAACTTGTTTGTTTTCTGCATGCCACTAATGAGGCTAGCACTGCACTGCACATGTGGAGCAGTTTGAACGGCAGGCCACTGCAGCGACCCAAGCAAGGCACGAAGCTGGGTCTTGTCATGTTCATTCATCTCATCTTCTGCAGAGCGGCCCTTGTGAATGGTCACTGGTTTGACCTTGTGCCAGTAGCTTTCTTGGTGGATCGCCCAGGCATGATCTTTTCTTTCGAGCTGCACACCACAGTATTCCAGCACCTGCTTGTCGTCCTGCCAGGTTCTGAAGTTGAAAACTTCTTTCAGTTTGTGTTCAGCTTCAACATAGGTGGCAGAAGATTCATCGCCAGCAGCCAACATGTCATCCACATGGAGGATGAGAATACCAACCAGTTTTAGGAAGTCGCCCTCAAAAACGTTCTCATCGTAAAGCATGAAGCAACATGGGTCCAACTGGTGTCGCTTCCAGTTGAGGGATTCCAAACGTCTCAGAGCTTCCAAGTACCATCGTTTTGGAGCGTCGATCTGCCCATAAACTGGCTTCTTCAAAAACATCCTGGTGTCAGGGCTGGCGCCCAGAATCTCCAATGCCTGCGCAGGCAATTTCAGCCACAGCGATCGCTCTTGAGGAAGTCCTTGCAAAAACGCAGTAGCGACATCAGCAGCCTAAGCTTTCCAGTGAAGGCAGCTTGAGATTGACAACAGCAGCGATCTGCTAAGTCGGCTGGTGGTTGGACTGGCAGTGGGCAGCTCACCATTCAAAGCATCAACATCATTGAAACCTCTCACGACCAGCCTCGCCTTAGCACGAGGTGTGCCATCAGCATTCTTCGACCATTTCAAAAGCATACGGCTGGTCAGAGTCCTTTCAGGAATGGAGTCTGAGGTGGTCGCAAATTCCCACACTCCACATTCGAAAAAGCTTTTCAACTCTTTCATCTTTGCATGGTAAAAGAGCTCCTTTTCCGCCTGGATCAGGTTCTTCTCAGAAACCTCGCCTTTGGCCTTGGCATAGTCACGGCGGAAAGTTCTCTTCCGCTGCACTTTGGTGTCCTGGGCAACTTTCTTTGTACTGCTGCGTTGATCCAACGCGGACATTCCAAGCTCTTTCCTGGTTTCAGCACAAATTTAAAAAATTGTTATTCCAAACCATTGTTGTGGAAGTCGATGTTTCCTCAAATCCTTGGCAAAGTGCTGGTACCCTCGAAAATCATCAGAAAACGAGTTGATCTGGCCATCAAGTGTGCGATGGACAATGATGCGGGTGCTATCCAGGTTCTCAACAGGGATGGGAATGTCAGCGAAACCATGGGGATCAAACAAAGTCTTTCGTGGTTGAACATGATGTCGCAGCAGGCAGCCAGCTTTGATCTCCCAGAAATCTCTATTGGTGGTCCCAGGCCGCAATTCAAAGAAACCAGTTTCGGCCTTGAAATGCCAATCAGCAGGAAATCCATCATCGCTGATATCTTCGACCTGAAAAGCCACATTTGTCAGGTCGTCGGCATTGTCTGGTCTCACATAGGGCCCATCATGACTTCGTTGACGTCGATTGGGACCAAAGAGAATTGGCAGCATCTCTTGTCGATCCATGCGATCTCTTCGTTGTTGAAAAGTTTCAGCAGCTGAAGTTTCAGGTTGTTGTGGAGGTAGATCATGTGAAGGTTGTAGAGGTGGAGAAGGTTGATCAGGTAGAGTTGGAGTGAAGGTTCGAGGAGTTGATGATGGTGCCATAGGAGTTGGAGGAAATTGTTCAGCTGAAGGTTCATCGATAACTCCATCAGGATCTGCATCACCAGGTTCTTGTAGTCCACCATGTTGAGGGACTGTCACAGGCAACATGGCAGGTCCAGCATCATGTGGTTCTGGAGGAATGGGAACTTCAAACTCATCCGCAAGGGAAGGCTCGTAGGAAACTGAAGGTGCAGGAAACAAGTCCAGTCGTCTCCGCTTTGCAACTTGTTCTCCGCCAGAGCTGTTGGAGATCATTTCCTCATCCTCACCAACATCATCGATGTGCTGCTTGTTGACCTTGGAGAGATCAAGATAGCGAGTCACACCACGTGATTTGATCTGCTGAATCACTGCCTTTGCCTCTTGCAAGTTGTCAACGGCATTGGTGGCTAACGTGTGGAAATCTGGTCTGCAATGATGTGGAGCACAGCGAATCAGCTGAGTCTTGTAGCAAATCCAGTAGCATGATGGTTTGCCATCACCATCAGTTTCCACCATCAAAACTTTTGCAGGACCTTTCCAACGTATCTTCACCAGATCGCTCTCACGAGCGTCACGCCAGAAAAAGCAAGTCTGGCGAACAGTCAAAGGTATGTTCTCGCCGGCATAGCGCCGCAACAAAGCTCGTCTCAACCTTTGATCTGTGTCTGCCTGAAGAATGGCAGCTTTTGCCACATTTCGACGGTGAAGAGCTTGTTCAAAAGAAGCACCGCCTGAAAGATGTGCTGGAGTGATCTGGTCTGAAATCAAGAGGTTGCCAATGGAGGGCTGAAATCCAAGAAGCCATTGAGAAGGGCTAAAGCCAGACACCGTAGGCTGGGCATTGAGCTGAGGGAGGATGTACGTCAGGGCCGTTCGAAGTCCATCGGGCCCATGCAAGTCCAAGTCCATCATGTACACCTCAAGGCTTTTCCTCAGCACAGCATGGCGCCTTTCAACAAGGTTCAGCCTGGTGTGAGCTTCTCCAGGGGCAATTTCATGAAAGATTGAATGGGCATCATTCCACTCGCCCATCTGATCACTCAGCCATCCACGTCCTTCATCGGTCACCAAAGTGGCAGGTGGCCCAAAGTGGGCAATCCAAGACCTTTCAAAACCAGTGATGAAGTCATCGGTCTTTTCCTGCCGCAGCAAAGTTGCTGTCTGGTATTTGGTGGCCATGTCGATGTTGGACAAAATGGGGTACTTCACCTTGCCATCTTTGATCCAAAAGATGTCGGATTGAACCTTCTGGTTGAAGCGCTCGACATCAGGGAGGTTTGCAGGTGCAGGCTGATTGGGTTTGCGGTATCGTGAGCAAGCAGCGCAAACATAGGAACCTGCAACTTGGATCACTGCTTCACTGGCATTGCGGCTTTGAAGCAGCTCAACCAGAGACTTGGTTGAAGGATGGCCAAGGTTGCGGTGGAGCTTTTGGACAACCCGCAGGGCTTCAGTTTTGCCCTCGACATGCAAGTCGATCATCTTGCCAGCATGCTCCTTGATCTCCTGGACTACAAATCCAAAGTCCCAGGGATGTGGAGTCTCAGGTGTGGCCAAAGCAGCAGCCAATGTGGCAGCCATCGCAGGTTGGTAGTCCTCCATAAAGGAAGTCTTCAAAGTTCTGAAGCCTTTCATGTACCCTTCAAGACGGCAGTGTTGGTGATCTCCAGGACATAGCAAATTCATGGCCTGTGCCACAGCAGTCTTGGAAGTCAAAATGGTGGTGTCTTTGCGCACAGGTCGCCACAAACCATCGTTGTCTTGACATACACAGCCATATTGACATTGATGCAAGCGAGTTCGATGTCCTGGAAGGTCTTTGAGAGCACTGGTCCGCCATGAAAGTGCAGGTGTTGGCTGCTCCAAATGAGCATGTTTTCCTTCACTGAGTTACTCCAAGTAAACATTCCTGCAAAACTTCAGGTGGACGCGGTGGTGCCATTCTCGCAGTTGTTCAAGTTGTTGGCACTTACGTTCATCCTTCATGTTTGCATTTTGCATGGGAGACCAGGGTGCACAGGTTGGAGACATCAGCACTTCGTCAGGAAGTTCTTCAGCCAGTAAGTCCATGAAGGCTCGCTGATGGGATTTCAAAGAGAAATTCCAACCAATCTCAAATCCAAACACCTGAGTCTCCATGCCAAACGATGCAGCAACATCAGAAATTCGTCCATGCCCACAGTAGACTTCCCAAAGCTTTCTGGGTTTACGTTCTTCCATGTCGTGGAGCGTCTGGGCGATGTAGGCCTCTGCAGCTTTCAGGCGAGTCAACACTGACGTGTCCAGTGACTTCAGTTGCTTGCCCTTCAGGACAAGTGATCCTTCAAGAGGTGCTGTTTCATCAGCCATGAAAACATTCTCTGCATGTTGGAAGTACTCCAGGGTGAAATTGGGGCCATCTTCATCTTCAAGGACCAAGTCAAAGGCAGCTCCATCGGCAATGATCGATGGATCATAGTCCTCTGTGAGGGGCAGCAAGTACTCATGATGCCGGCCAAGAGTAGCATCACGTCATTCACTGCCATCAAACTTGATGCGGTCGTTCAAGAAGTCCACCGCCATTCCAAGTGCCTTTAAAATCGGTCGCCCAAGCAACATAGGGGTTTCTCCTCGGAGCAGGAATGCCTGTACCAAGCCAAACTTGTGGTTGACAAAGATCGGCAGGTACACAGTCCAAGAGCTGATTGCCTTGTGGTCGCCACCAAAGTGAAAAGTACTGTTGGCCTTCTTGAAGACAATCTCATGTACCGGAAACTGGAGCTTCTTCAGGTGGTCGATGTATCGAGACAGCGGACCAAATCCCATAAGGAAGGATGAAGCTCCTGGGTCCATCATTGCACAGTCGGGTTTCTGAGAACCCTCCTGATCTTCGAAGATCACCATACCATTCTCAGGGTCCATCATGGAAGTTGATATAACACCCTCCGTAGCTTGACGTTTGTTAGGACCAGCAGGTGATGTCTTCGGAGTTGGCTTTGATGTTCCCTGAGTATACTGAGCAGTTTTGTGGGTCGAAGATCCACATCGAAGACATTGAGGACCAATGGCGGCTTGTACACGACCCTTTGGATCATGTAGCTTCATCGGCGGCTTGTTGTACTTGAAGAGGTTCTTGCCACGCCCCTTGCTCTTGCCTTTCTTGCCTTTGCCTTTTGGTGGCATCGGTGATTGGCCAGTGTTAGAGGAACCAGCAGCATTGGGGTCGTAGGCAACCACAGGAAAGAAGCCACGTGACATTCTCAGCTCATTGAAACGTTTGCGGGCATCCATGTAGCTCGCAAAACACTCATCATACTCCGCAGGGTCAAAGCCATAGCTATCTTCGGCCGGGTCATTGCAAGACTCCTGGAAGTACGCAGTATCAGCATCAAAGTCGGCATACTCATCGTTGTCCCAGGAGCCATCGTCGTATTCATAGTAGGCCATGTCGTCATCCTCAGCCATGAAGCCCCATCCATCTTCATCATCGTAGGCAGCATCTTCATCGGCGTAAAAACCACGCCCTTTGCCAGAACCAGAAGGTCGAGAGGAAGACCATCTGCTTGCGTTGTGAGGCAAGTGGCTATGCTTGTAGTCCTGCCCCAGGATGGAGTACATGGCCTGCTGGATTTTGGAGCGTTCCAGGCTGTTTGCCTGTGTTATCACCATTTGCCTCTGCTCTTTGGTGATGTTGGCCTTGGCTAAGAGGTGCCATCCTTGAACTTCTGCAGGCAAGGTCACACCATGCTTTTCCAAACGGCGAAGGCGTTCATCATGGTCAGTGATATACTGCAGCAAGGTCTGGCCGCTCCTGCGACCAGAAGCTTCGAAGTAGGAGGAGAAGTCCGCAGGCAGCTCGACAGTCCGCAGGTAGCTCGACCTTACTGTCGTACTGGAATGCACTATCCAGCAAAGACAGGATGTCTTTGAAAGCCGTCTCTTCCTTTGCCTTCTCAAGGTCAAAGTCCTCCACCAACTTCCATGCAGTTCCTTGCAAAGATCCCAGCAAGTTCAAGACGCACTCATTCTTGCGGTTCGTCAGCTCCATCTTCTTTGCGTAGATGGTGATCCTTTTGCGCCATTCTTTGTATCCAGCAAGAGTTCCATCGAAGATGGGGATGTAGCTATCCCTCGTGCTCTGTTGGTCCAGGGATGCCGTCGCAGCACCACTTGCAGCTGTCGCCATGTTATACTCAGGAAAGTCCAGGTAGAGGTGAAGCACTGCAAGGGTCCAGGTAGAAGAGAAGCACTGCTGGAGTACAGGTAGAAGAGAAGCACTGCAAATGTCCAAGTAGAAGAGAAGCACTGCAAATGCTAAGCCCGAGGTCCGAGGTATACTCAAGGAAGTAGAAACGATGCAATGCAAGCACGATAGATCTTGTCCAGAAAGTTGTAAAAGTGATTCACAGGGTTGTAGGTGAAGTGGTAGTTGTAGAGTTTCAGGTTGGAGTGCGCAGCTGGAACGGTGTCAACCACTCCGCTACCAATGTCACTTCTGGGGTTCCAAGAAGCAGGTCGAGACACACGAAGTTCTCTGACAGGAGCTGCGATGCACACGAAGTCAGCAGCTTTTCAGCGTAGCGCAGTTCGGCATGTGTTGCCCACCCACTGTTTTGGGCCGGAAGGCCGCGTTGAAACACCTAAGTGAAATGGATACCTAGGTGGAATCAGTTGCATGCCACAACTATGCAAATGACACTTTATATTTAATATTTTTTATTAATATAAAAAATAATTAAAATTATTTATGTCCCGTAATTATTTCAAATATAATTATTTCAATTAATTTTTAATAATGTTCAGCAGTAAATATTTTTATTAGTTCCAAAATGAGAAATAATATTAGTACTAATAGTAATATTAGTAGTAGCAGTAGCAGTAGTAGTAGTAGTAGTAATATCAGGAGTAGTAGTAATAGTAGTAGCAGTAGTAGAAGTAGTAGTAGTAGCAGTAGTAGTCTTAGTAGCAACAGGAATAGGGGTAGGGGTAGGAGTAGTAGCAATAGCAGCAACAGCAACAGCAGCAGCAGGAGTAGGAGTATGAGTAAGAGTAAGAATAAAAATAAGAGTAGTAATTCCGTGGGGCATGGTCTTGGCAAGTGATAAAAATTACAAGATTGGGTATCGGTTAGTATCGGTTGGGGTATCGGTGGGAATGGTGCATGAATTGCCGCAAACAATACTCTGCTGCAGATTATTGTGGGAACTTGTTGGGATCTAGGGGTATCGGTGCTGGGTCGTCCCCTATTGGTTATGAAGGTTCTTGTGAAGGCAAGCAAAGTTCAAGGCAGCTCTCTACTACTTTCAAATGCTGATAATTTTGTCGGATACTCATATATCATATATATAGAACTATAAAGCATATAAATAGATGGCTCAGCAACAAATATCAATTAATACTCAAAATTAAAAATCATAGAAATTGCGTGTTTTTTTCATGTAAAGACATCATCCACCTTTGGTTGAGCTTCCTCCTGCGGTTGCACCCTGGACCCCAGGAGAAGAGGAATAACCCAAGTTATGGCCCTTAATCTGGGCAAAAGGATGATGATCAATCCTGAGATTTGAGGCAACATGAGGCCAAGTCTTGTAAGAGAAAACGAGATTTTCTTTGATCCGAATGTGCTAAAAGGTGCAACAAAACACGGGCAAATCGCCAACCAATTCGTGAATCGGCAGCATTCACCCCTTGCGGCCGGTCCAAGACGCGCAAAGCTTCTGTTTCTTCACCTGCCGCAAAGATGGAGGTGGTTCAAGTGCGAAGCCCGAAGCCGAAAAGGCTATTTGAACCTCAAAATTGACCAACATGGGATATTCCAAATCCAATTGATGTGAAGCCGCATCCGGCTTTTTAGGTCCATGGCTCCATGACTATTGATATCTTATGGAGGAAAGAGAATGCGTACCCATGCACCCACACGTTCTTGTCAGCTCTATGTAATCAGTCTGGGTATCAACCCATCCTGTTTGTTGGTGAATTATCCGACGATCACAAGTCAACAAATACTCATAGATCGAGCTATTTCTTGTGTGAATATGTGCATTGTTCGTATACAATTACACATTTACATATTATATACAGACACATTATTCCATGTAAGCGTTATTGCCATAATATGTATGTAATATATATATAATATATATATATATCCACTCCTGATCCATACTGATACCTATTATACTTTGTCTGGTGACCCTTCCAAGGAATCACCAAAGATCGCCCCACCTTTCTCATCCTCCTCATCAGAGGCTTCCTCCACGGCACAGCGATGGGGGGGTATCTACTGGGTTGCAAGTTTAAAAATAATGGCCAATATCATTAATTTGAAGGGAGATATTATACACATATGTGTATTATACATAATTATGTACATATAAGCTTTCGACGCGTGCCAAAAAACATGATGCAAACCATAATTTGAGATCAAAAACGCAGCACCAAAGCTCAACAAAAACAATTCCAAAGCACAACAAACATGACGCCAAATCTGTGTCACAGGAATTCGATCGAAACAGGAACCGCCCAAAAATAAAACGTCTTTCAGTGGACCTAGGTATATAACAATTGAACCACTTGGAAACCTGTTGCAAAATCCCTTAGTTGTAATGGTTGCTTAGTGGGGAGCCCCATTTCCTGAAATCATCCCATTGTACTTGTAATATATCCATATATGTCCTTCATCATTGTAATCCAACAGTGAAATACAGTGAACAGATCCAACACCAAACCCTGGTTTCAAGGCGGTATTTTATATTGGAGAAGTCATGATATGTCAGCGTATGAAGGCGCATGAAAGGAACATAAGGAAAACATCTCCAAAGCAGTTCATGACTGTGGAGATGATAAAGAACACATGAAATCTTGATCATAAAGAATTATAACAATATATAATTCTCCAAATCATGAGAATTCACCTGGCTTTCAGACTTCTTGCTCAGTGAAAATTCTGAACCCTCCCTGGCACCTGGGCTGAAGGTGTGTGAACACCTGTGGGCCGGATTCACTTTGCTCTTTTTGATCTTTTTGCTGAAGGTGTCTCCTTGAAGCCCCCGGAAAGTCCATCCAAAATCAAATTATCAGCAACACACACATTTAACATGGACACTTCCGCATGGTTTCTTGGGCTTCCCCTTAGGGGCACTCCATTGCACTGCCGGTCATCTTTCCCAGCCCCGGCTGCCTGGACTGCCTGGGTTCTCAGAGAAATCCGCCTGGCGGGATCATGGTCCGATGATGGTTCTGTTGATAGTCTCCGTCCATGTCATTTTTCAGCTTTGCCTACTCAAGGGTGATGAGAATTAATGGAAAAACAAACCCATGAGTTGTTGGTTTCCATTGATCACTGATGATTCCAACCCGCTTGCTGGTAGCAAGATCATGGGGGGATGACCCAAGTGAAACAACCCACTGTCCATCCAACCCAGAAGTCAAGGTTTGAATGATTGATTCGATTGATTGCATCATATTGCATCTATATATATATATATCTGGGTAAATTATAATAATTCACTAACCTGAATTAAGGCCATAAAAGGGGATGATTTCCCTAACATAAACCATGATTCCAGTGAGGGAGAACAGTGAGGTCGTTATAATTTACCCAGATATATGTCTTGCATTTCTAAAGTTATCGACAAATCATGAGTAGGTGATGATACCATCTCACCAAAAACACATGATATGCCGTCATGTTCCATTTCTTTGGTATGTTTCCATTTTGGATGGACACCCAAGTTCATTTGCTGGTTGAATCCAGATTCTTGTTGGTTAAATCCCGATTCTGGCATGGTAAACCGTCGAAATTCATCCAAATGATTGACATTGATGAATGCATATTCATGATATTCATGATATAATTGTCCATAGATAATCAAATTTGATCATCATAGATATCCCTGCTCCGGGTCTTACCATTTCTAGAGCTGATCTCCCCAAAAGCACCCGTCGTTCTCACCGCGCTTCGCTGCCTGCACACCAAATGCCACGGCCTCAAAGTCGTCCCCTCCCAGATCTGTCGCTGCCCTCAGCGCTTGAGAACTGGCTTTCCATCATGGCTGGGGATGGTTGGTATGCTATCCACTACTTGGGGGATGGGTACCACACTTTTGACCTGAAGCCATATACTTCGTCATACCATTTCTGCGTTTCATTTTCTAAGATTCCATGATGCTATATGGGGAAGTATGGGGATAAAATCCACCATGCTCATAGATAATTAATCATGATAATATCCGTGATAGGCCTGCCGGACATCATAACAATCATACAGTCATACATGATTATTCTGCCAAACAGTTGCAACGATCAAGAACAACATTAAAAACACCTAACATAGAAGAATAGTTATAACATGTTATAAACATCGTACTCAACTAGTGAGACACCCTATAATTCATATCTTCAGATGGCTTTGACACATCTAAGGTTGACCCAGCTTACAGAGCGGCAACATCTTTGTAGTTCCAAGATATTCCAATCATATAAATGTAAATGTGAAGATTACATACATGGAAAAACGGTTCATGAAACTACAAAACTAGGGTTTACCCAAATAAGGATATACTATAGTTATAATCATGTGTATATATATACATATATATACATATGCTTAAATAATATTGTATATGTATGCGGATATCACCAGCAAACAAGGGGAGCATCAAATAGATTGCCAGTTTCAACGGGTGAGGATGATTCTGTGTCACCTGACATGGCCTTGTAGGGAGGATTTCTGCGTTCTCAGACTTTGAGGCAACTCATGCAAAACAGGGGTATCGGTATAGGGTCGTCCCCTACTGTATCGGTAATGAAGCTTTTGCATGCTTTTGCACACCCCTCAGTAAGGCCAAGGCGAAGCAAGACCAGAATGAATCACCTTTTTCAGGGATGCCAGAGGGTAAGCATGAGCCATGCATGATGGTACATGGTACCACTCTCATCTATCCGAATCCTTTGAGGATCCCCGCGGCTGCATGGCGATTCCGCCACTCGGAAGCCCCTGAGTGGAACACATCACCAATGTGAGCCATTGAAATCATCCCAGGTAGGATCTAGAATGCAACATGTTTGAAACCACCAACCTATCATACTTACCCGAAAAAAAAATGTGTTCTATTCCCAAACTAATTGAAGTTGATTATACATGATGCTACCCATAGTTACATATAGTTACCATCTTTGCTGGATATTTGAAACCAACAACCAATACCCAAAGTGGCCATGCAGACTTTGGCACATGAACCGTGAAGCCTCCAACATCGCGATGTTCAAAGAATCGGTGCCCATGGTGCCCTCGGGGGTGGCCACCTGGCCAAAGGGGTCGTGGCCAAAGCGTGTCTGGAGGTTCAGCAAAGCTGGAGAAAGGGAAACAGTACCAAGACTATCCAAGACTATCCAAGCTTTCCCCAGGCTATCTACATATGTTTCGAGCTATAGTGACTATCCAAGACTCATCCTGGCTCTCCACTGCCGCAGGCCTCGTATGCAGACAGCAGCAGCTGGGAGTAGACCTGAACCTGTGGGAAATTGCGATGGGCTCTGCTGCGGAACTTCGTCCAGGTTTGGGACCTCCCAGCATGAAGTGGGTCAACATCCTAAGGTTGCCATTATAGGACAGGACATACCCAGCTGGATCCGTCCGAATTCATTTATAGCCAAGCAAAGAGTTGAACGAAGCGATGGCGCTATTAAGGTAGCGAAAGGATGCAAAGGAAGTCTCCCAGGTCACCAAGAGACAACAAAAACATGGAACTACCAAAAATTAGAAGTTTGCTTCGTTGTCCTTGATTGTTCATTGACGTTCTCTTTACTCACTCTTGCTCTTGAAAGTTCCTTCTCTTGGTAAGTTCTCCTTCTCTTGACTGATCACCCTGTTTTTTCTATTTACATCGTTGAGTCATGTTCAGTCTTTCTTGCTGTATTCTGGACATGATTGTTGGCTCTTCAGCCTTGGTGTTGATACAGTCAGTGTTCTTAACTTGAATGTCGTAGGTGCGATCCTTTGCGCCCACAGAAACCTGAAGGTCCCAAACTGTCAAAAGTCTGGCAAACCACTATATTATGCTTAAAGGTCAAAGCACTCAATATATTCAATATTCAGCACCTATGAACTGAATTACAGCACCTAAGATCCTCTTCAAATCAAATGCATCAAACGCGATACTGAAGTGAGCCATTTCCTAGTGTATCATTCACTAAATACAAACGGGCATCATTCATTCACCTGGAACTGATTCAACAGCAAGAACATCCTCTGTCCAACCCGGACGTCCGCCCACCAAAAAGAACATCTTTTTATTTTTTGGTGCTTTGTCATACAGACAAGCTGGACAATATGCTGAATGGGGTAATAACTTCAACTTATCTTCAGAAGGAATCAACATCGGCCACACCCTCTGAACCATACCTTGAATGGGGACAAAACATCCACTTATATTTACTGTATATTACAGGATCAAAATTCGCCACCACCTCTGAACAATATGTTGAATGGGGTAATAGCTTCAACTTATCTTCATAAGGAATCAAAATCGGCCACGCCCTCTGAACAACATGTAACAATGGGGAACTAACTTCAACTTAATTATCTTCATAAGGAATCAAAATCGGCCACGCGCTCTGAACAATACGTTGAATGGGAAAATAACATCAACTTGTATTCATTAGGGATCAAAATCCGCCACCCCTTCTGAACAATATGTTGCATGGGGTAATAACAGCAATTGATCTTCATAAGGAATCAAAATCGGCCACGCCCTCTGAACAAATAATTATGTTGAATGGGGAAATAAGATCAACTTACAGTATGTTCATACGGGATGGACATACATTTCAGACAAAATCAGCTTATTGCACCGTTTTCACACATGTTCAATATTCGAGATGAACATGTGCAAAGAGCTAAATAAATGATTATATTTATATACATATTATATTATATTATATTGATTGTAATATATATATATCATTATATATATATATAATGATTTATAGTGACATATATATATACACATGCATACTTGTACATATACACGTAATACACGTACTTTATTACTTCCACAATGATCAAGTATATACATGTCGAAAGTCCACCTTGCCTGGCTTTTTAAAAATACGCAAGCCTTCAACAATTCCGTGGCGGGCATCGCCAAAGACATCGAAATCCCCACAGCCCCACAGCCCCGGCCGTCTGTGGTCCGAGGAAAGCCGAGTGCTTCCGCAAGGTGCTTGCAACTGAGTTCCTGATGGGATCAGTGGGGATGCCTACCTGAACGATATGCGGGCTACTTGGGATCCACGAAAGTGGGGTGAAAAAACTATGCAACGCTTGAAAAACCATCCAGGATAGGTTCTTGATTAATGTTGAGTCCTGATTAGTACCTAGGGTCGCTATTGTGGCAATTTTTTTCCAAATTATTCTGAAACTCATGTATTGTTTGGAGGGTTCGCTTTTGTGGCAAGAAAAATTGGGAGAGCCCTTTTTTTTTGCAAAAAAAACTGTAATTGCTGAGAGGCATTTTTTCTCAAAAACGCTGTAGCTCAGTCAATTTTTTGCTCATCTCCCTATCTGAGCCTGTAAATGCATCTCTATCTGAGTAGGTTTGTTTGCTGGGTTCACTATTGCAGCAAGCTGTGCCAGAGCAGCCCCTGAAGAAGGGAAGCAAGCCATTTCCAAAATTGCCAAATTCAAACTGCAAGCCTTTCCCAAAAGAACCAATCCTTTATTAAACCCTTATTAAAGAACAGCTTTCCCACAATTTTCCAAGGCCCTGGACCAGTAGAGGCCCCATTTCACTTTAGTAGGTTTGTTTGCTGGGTTCACTATTGCAGCAAGCTGTGCCAGAGCAGCCCCTGAAGAAGGGAAGCAAGCCATTTCCAAAATTGCCAAATTCAAACTGCAAGCCTTTCCCAAAAGAACCAATCCCTTATTAAACCCTTATTAAAGAACAGCTTTCCCACAATTTTCCAAGGCCCTGGACCAGTAGAGGCCCCATTTCACTTTAGTAGGTTTGTTTGCTGGGTTCACTATTGCAGCAAGCTGTGCCAGAGCAGCCCCTGAAGAAGGGAAGCAAGCCATTTCCAAAATTGCCAAATTCAAACTGCAAGCCTTTCCCAAAAGAACCAATCCCTTATTAAACCCTTATTAAAGAACAGCTTTCCCACAATTTTCCAAGGCCCTGGACCAGTAGAGGCCCCATTTCACTTTAGTAGGTTTGTTTGCTGGGTTCACTATTGCAGCAAGCTGTGCCAGAGCAGCCCCTGAAGAAGGGAAGCAAGCCATTTCCAAAATTGCCAAATTCAAACTGCATGAGCATGGGCTGAGCATGAGCATGGGCTGAGCATGAGCTACAAGTACTACAAGTACTACTACTACTACTACTACAAGTACTGCAAGTACTACAAGTACTACAAGTACTGCAAGTACTACAAGTACTACAAGTACTACATGTACTAGAAGTACTACAAGTACTACAAGTACTACAAGTACTACAAGTACTACAAATACTACAAGTACTACAAGTACTAATTACAAGTACTACAAGTACTACATGTACTACAAGTACTACAAGTACTACAAGTACTACAAGTACTACAAGTACTACATGTACTACAAGTACTACAAGTACTACAAGTACTACAAGTACTACAAGTACTACAAGTACTACAAGTACTACAAGTACTACAAGTACTACAAGTACTACAAGTACTACTACAAGTACTACAAGTACTACAAGTACTACAAGTACTACAAGTACTACAAGTACTACTACAAGTACTACAAGTACTACAAGTACTACAAGTACTACAAGTACTACAAGTACTACAAGTACTACAAGTACTACAAGTACTACAAGTACTACAAGTACTACAAGTACTACAAGTACTACAGTACTACAAGTACTACAAGTACTACAAGTACTACAAGTACTACAGTACTACAAGTACTACAAGTACTACAGTACTACAAGTACTACAAGTACTACAAGTACTACAAGTACTACAAGTACTACAAGTACTACAAGTACTACAAGTACTACATGTACTACAAGTACTACATGTACTACAAATACCACAACTTCATCGGCAAAAAAAACAAAAGTAATTAGATTTCAATTGTAGCCAATTGAAATCCTTACTGAATTGAGGATATGTTTTTCTTTTGGGAAGAAATTTTTTGACTTTCTACGTTAAAGAGAGTCCAGAAATAGTTTGGGGGGGGGGCCACACACAAATCAGGACTCAACATTAATTTTGATCATCTTGAGACGATTGAAGAGGGGATTTGGGCAAGTTTAACAAAAGGACCCCAATCCCCAAGTTGATTGATTGTTTATCGAAATAAAACTATGTAGGATGTTCGCAATCGCCAATTTGTGAGAGTACTTATTTGGGTATGGCATTTCTTACAACCAAAACCTAAACAGACATCTGTGGTTTTGCTCTTGAAATGCTGGCCTACGCCCACGTTTTTTTGCCCATTATAGATCTAAAATGATCTATATAAATATATTAAAAATCATATGCTAGGAGTAAACTCAATAATGAGAAGTTTGGCCATTTGGGGATCCTTACCCCCATTCCCATCATTCCAGTGACTCCAGTGACGGCCACGCCTCCCCTGCTCAAAGCTTATGCCAAAGGCCATCATGTAGCCCACGAAACGCCTTAGACGTCCAACGCGTCCATTGACACTTCGTATGAACAGCTGCGTTGACACCCTCTCTACAGGACCAATTTGTCAGGCCATTACATGTCACAACCGTCTTAAGATGGGGTCACAACCACCACCAGATCCCCCAGGAACAGCGCACAGTAATTTACTTCTAGCCTTTTGCCTTGACATGCGACGTTTTGCTTGGAAATATGGGCTCAACATGCCTCAATGGCATGTTCCTAACGCCAATTTCTATGCAGAGCAAGGGGCTGCAAAAAGCTGGTCATGGCAGGTTTGCTGAACTGGCTGCCTGCAAGTTCGTCGCAGAAATCCACCTCTTGGTCCAACCAAAGTTCTTTTAATCCCTCGACACGTTCCAACACTGATCCACACTATCACGGAATTCTTGCCTATGCCGATCAACTGTTGCCGCCCAACACCACATAAATATGGTAGTTCACAATGAAGATGATCATATGGACTCATATGAGATCTTAAAATCCCACACAATCCAAACATCTCTACCACTCTAGCCATCTCAGTTTTTAACCTTCCCAGATACAGGGCCCACCTGGGGCTAAGGATCTCCGCCACACGGCTTCAGCAGCATAGGCCTCACCAACCATTCGGGAAAAAAACACCATCCATGGTCGGTGCAAGTAGCATCCTCTCCGCCCACCTCGCACAAAGACAGTAGCAGCACATCTTCCCAGAAGGTGACCTGAAATGATCAGCTCAGCTGATGCTTTTCGGAAATCAATCGCATCATAAATGGAGGGTAACCCTCAAATCATATGGATTTATATAGTTTGATATAACAAATCATCAAATGGAGGCCAACCTCAAACATTCAACATCATATATCCATGATTGGGAGTTGCCACTTCTCACATTACATGACATCACTGTGCTTTCCGGTGGTGTTTTAAACGGAGACGTCTCCGCAACAGGCTACGCTATGATCCATATGGGATGACCACAAGAGCCACAAATCCCTGGCGCCTTGTTCCACAGCGCGTGGTTGTACACCTTGGAGAGAAGTGATACCTCAGATGAAAAGTAGCTCTTCTTGATGTACTTGTATACAAAGCATGTCCAAGCCTAGGACAATTTGCTATAGCACCACACTCACACACACATATTGTATGTATATATATATTCAAATATATCCATTCAAATATATACATTCAAATATATACATTCAAATATATACATTCAAATAACTATTATTGTGTATATACGGGAATAAATACGTATGATATCTGAAGCTCTTTCCGCTTAGAGACTGCCTTGCCATCCTGCTCGGTGCGATACAACTGCGCCAGGACCTGGACCGACTGGACCGACTGGACCGAGGGATCATCTCCGATTTTTGAGGGAATAAACATACTGTACAGTAATAAACATTAATAAACACATATGACATATAACATAAAACATATATATATTTTTTAATAAACATAATATATGACATATAACATATTTTTTATAATCAACATATATGACATATAACATATTTTTATTTATGACACACATAAATATATGTTATATAGAGATAAAACATAATAAACATATATTTATGTGTGTGATAAACATATAAAATATATATGACACCGAAATAAACCGTATATACTTGAGCGATCGAAGATCTGTTCAACATCTGACAGCCAACATGAGAATCTGAGAAGTTGGGGATCGACATCTGGACAGAAAACATGCCTGGTGCATCTATGATTGGACACAGCCTTTAATTCTTCGGGGTCCCTTGCCTTGGGATGGACTCTGCATCTTGCCGTAGTCCCATTCTTCTTGTTTTTCATAGTGGTCTCAAAATCAATAGAACATTAACACATATTAACACCAATCAAATATGTAAAGGAAGGCACTTTCTATTTATAGCAACATTTTCTTTGGGGGGGGAACACTTTATCGCACAACGTCTAAACACATCTAATGTCATGTCCTGTTCCTCGTTGGGTTCCCAGGCCATCAGGTCACGTCCCGACCTGGTCTGCAGCAAATCCAAGTCGTTGATTGAAGGATGTTGAAGGGACATTCATCCATCGTTCATGGAAGAGCGACTCAATTCCTGTAGAAACAAGCAAATCACGTCTAAATTTCCAATATATATATACGTATATATAATAATATAATATATTATAATATAATATAATATATAGGAGTATGATCTCTCAATGAAACGGTAACCCCTTCAGGTTTTGGTCATAGCTCGAGTTATGTTCACTAGACCATGGCTTATTCTAAGAATCAACAAACTTGAAAAAAAAGGACACATAAAAAAAGGAAAAAACAAAAAGCAAATCAGCACAATCCAAAAAAACACAAAAGAAAAATAAACGGGAAAAACAGGGAAACAAAAGGAACGACAAAAAGCAAAAAAAAACGAAAAAAATGGACTTGTCCTGTCCATTTGCATGTTTTTTGCGTTTTTTTTTGTTTTTTGCCTGGAAAAAAGCAAACACAATGCACAATAAAAGCAAAACAAGCAAATCGAAAAAGCAAACAAAAATGCAAATGGACAAGTAACTATTTTTTTCCCCAATTTTTTCCCTTTTTGACTCTCCATTTTTTTCCCTATTATTTTGCTTCCTGCTTTTTTCAATCCTGAACATTTGCTTTTTGATTTTCCATTTTTTTGCTATTTTTTCAAGTTTAAAAATCATTAGAATAAGCAATTGAAGAGAACATAAAGCTCGAGCCCCTGACCACGCATCGTTGTGCTCGTCTGCAGCATCGAGAGCCACTTTGAAGCAACATGTCAGCGCCTTGCTACCACGTCGACTGAATCACCAGCGGAGGCATGCGGGAATTGTCTGAAAAATAACATTAACCACAATGGCTTTGGAAGAAGATTTCATCTTAAAAACACATCCATGCTGCTTCATGTCATGGTTCGGAGTGAGATCCATGTGGAAATTGCAGACTTCATTTCTCCAGGTAGAGACTCATGCAACAAGTCAAATCAACAAAGGAGTACCTGTTGAATATTTCAATGACATTCAATGACTGTCACTAGGCAGGGTTACAAATCAACTTCAAAGGATGTGGGATCAATCCAAAACTCACTGCGCTAATGATGAACATGAACATCACCATGTTCAACGACGAAATCCTCTAGAAATAGTTGATTTTGCCATGTTCTGGCTATGTCTCAAATCAGGTACCCCCCAGCTCCCGGGTTTAGACCCTTCGAAACTGGTGGTTTCCATCAATTTCCCACATTTTCCAATTGTTTTCCCATGATTTTTCCCAGGCTTCCACAAATTTATATACCCCATTTCTCCACAGCACCTCAAAGGCACCCGGGCTCAGATTCTTGCCCGCGGAACCTGGAAACCGAAGCGGCCACGCTGCCCCTGGGGCTAGATCTTCCCTGTAGATACTGTCATATTTGTCATGAGTCAAATATGATTGTAGTTAGGATTAAGCAGCACATGATTCTACAATATACATCAATATACTATATACATGCAATGTGTACCTAGACACACCGTTCCAACAGGAAGGTGGACCTGACATGCCAAAGATTGGTTCACCAGTTGGACATTTTCTGACATCCACCGTGGATCAAAGTCGGCTTCGTTCGTACATTCCACCGGCGTCACTGGTGGCGAGCGGTTTTCACAGATATGACTGGAATGTCCGACTGGTGAAAGTAAGGTACTTATACACCCGAAGATCTCATGGTGGATGATCCTTTTCTCCATTGGATTGGCTCTAAAAATCTCTAAAATCTGAGTAAATCCAATCCACAACCTTATTGCCACCATCCCCGCCGTCGATCTCTGTCCCCGGTGGATCGTCTTTGAGGACCGCCAGACGGGCCACCTGAGCGCATGTTTAAGCGGCGTTCATCGAAACGTCAACCCTGGAAATAATAAACCCTAACATACCGTGACTATCAATAATCGTAACAAATTACAACAAATATCAACAAATTACATAAATTTACTATAACATTTTGGCATAGCACTATTTTTCGCGCAATGGCCATGGTTAATGAGGGAAAAAAATCACCTAGTTTCAAACGAACCCAACAATTGCCAGGCAGTATGATAGAAACACCACCTTTCGCAGGGGATGTTTGGGTACAACAAGTGATATGAGCACACTAGGGTACGTAGCAGAAAGGATCTCTTGTTTCTTCCATTTTGGTATGGGTCAAGACCCAAGGACTCTGGTTTTCACACCAGAGTAGCCGATGGTCCCAAAGGGGAATGATCCATCCCCAATCTGTCTCTGAAAAAAACTGAACATATTTCAGCCCGGAATCTCATGTCACCCCATGCTGTTGATCATCATGAATCACCATCCCAAAAAGGCCAACAATGGAGGGGCCAAGTCCGCATATCTGGAACCCAAATCTCCAGCTGGATTGATGCTGGATTGATGGCCTGACAGAAGGCCGCCCGCAACTTGGACTCGGAAAGCTTCTGACAGAATTTCTCCACTTCTTCCTGTGATCGGGTTGTAGCCACCATCAGCCCTGGACATCGGTTTTTTTGATTGGTTTATGATGCGGAAAACATAAGTACTTGGAAGCGAAATAGGAGATAAACAATTGATTTGGAATGGCTCAACCTATTTTAGCCCATACTTGGAAGCTTAACAAGGGGAGAAAAGGGGCATAGTTCATCCTTCATCATTTCTTGGTGTGTTTATTTTGGGGGACCATAGCGATCAGCAAGCTGGACCATTGGCACCACTTGAATCCTGGATATAGATAATATGTACAAGACGATGGCCTATTTGAGGATGTATCCTGATCGGTCAAACTTATGTCAATTCCCAATCTTTTTGGTGACAGCCCAGCTGAACACCGGACGCACCTCCGTCTCTGATCCTGCGATGCGCGGTGGAAGCTGTGCTCACTGGACCCTGATCAGGATCCCTGGTTGGTGGTATACCTACCATCTTGAAAAATATGAAAGTCAATGAGAAAGATGACATCCCATATATGAAATGGAAAATAAAAAATGTTTGAAACCACCAACCAGATCCATGTTTCGGTCTCATCCTGCAACTCGTTTGCTGATTTTCGACAACATCATCAATTTGTTGCTGGTTTCAATCTACAGCTAGTCAATTGGGGTCTACAAGTATCATCTGCTATCAGGGTAGAACGTATCAAAAAACTCAGGATCAGGTTTTATTTTGCAACTTTCGGCTCACTCCTTGTTTTTCTCCACCCATTTTGTCGACCGTGCCTTCCAGCAAAGATGTGATGAAGGGCGACATCTCATCCATTAGCTGCCGGATCTGTTGTTGAACCTGCCACACTGGTGGAATGCCGCGGGTCTGTTCATGTTGGGGCCCAAAACAAAGGGGTTATTGTGGTTCATTGTTAGGTAAAGCTGATTACTGATCCTCAACAAAGATCAGAAACGCCTGCAAGTGAAGTTGCAACTCTGGCGTCATCTTTCGCCTAAGCGAACATGAACTGACGGCGCCCATGAACACACTCACACACACAAATGTAGATATATATATACATACATCATGTATATGTATACTGTATGTATATATTATCTGTATACTGTATGTATATATTATCTGTATACTGTATATGATGTAATATGTATATTATATAAATACACACATTGTACATCCATATAACATGTATGAACATGTAAGCAAATAAGATTAAACAGGCAAATGCACAAGTAAATCAGTAAATCTGCCTTACACTTAATAGTCCTATATAGTAATCTATAAGATAATACCCATTCTGAGGATCGATGAGGAGACCTTGGACATGCTCCAAGGGTTCGGACATGTCCAACATCACACATCATATGGCCACGGCCACATTTGGGGATGGCATGTGAGACAAATATCAATTTGGTGGTTACACATATGTGCCTTGATTGAACAAGCACGGAGTTGGCACTGCTCCAAAAATATCACCGCAGCACGTTGCAACTTTCCCGGAATCTTAAGGATATGGTCATGGTTCTACAGAGATTGGTTATATATAGCAGGTTACCAGATGTTACCATACAAAAAACATATATATATATATGTACATATTTCAGACAAATAACATTCATCAATTCATCCCAATTTTTTCACCATTGGTTCTACATCCCCACTGAACAAACAACAAACCATGACAAACCCAACAAGGGCGCATCTCCGAGCGGCGCTTCACGACCTTTGCCCAACTGATGAAACGGCACGGCCTTATTTCACAGCTTCACAGCTTGCGAAGGCACAACCAGGGACGTCAGTTAAAAAAAATGAAGTCTGAAGTCTGAAACCTCAGATTTGATCCAGATGAACATCTATGACATATGAACATCTATGAACATCTATGAACATCTATGAACATCTATGAACATCTATGAACATCTATGAACATCTATGAACATCTATGAACATCTATGAACATCTATGAACATCTATGAACATCTAGGAACATCTAGGAACATCTAGGAACATCTAGGAACATCTAGGAACATCTATGAACATCTAGGAACATCTAGGAACATCTAGGAACATCTATGAACATCTATGAACATCTATGAACATCTATGAACATCTATGAACATCTATGAACATCTATGAACATCTATGAACATCTATGAACATCTATGAACATCTATGAACATCAAAAACAACTTAACGTCTATGAGACCTTGATAAAATAAATCAAATCATTCCTGTGTGGCAACCCATCAATGGTGGAGGATTCGCTTGAAGCTCCCATTTTTGGCCCTGCATTGGATGCTTGAACGCGAAAATCCAGCCCTATCAGTCCAAAGACTGGTAGCCTTGTTGCAGAGCCGCCCCCATGAAAAATATTAGTCGGGATTGTCATGTTTCAAACCACCAATTAGGAACTGGTTGGCTTTTGGTTCACTTCAAGACCCTCAGGTTTCACCTAATGTAGCAGCTGTAGCAAACAGCCATAAGTGCTCCCCAGTGTCTGAAACTATCCCCATATATAATCAAGTGGTGGCTTCTTATTGTGTTTACCATCTTAGTCATAATTCATTTATCTAGCCACCAACAATTGTGCTTGAGCATGTGCTGAAACTATACCCCAAAATCCAATGGCCAATCTTCGTTGTCCCTATTTGAACCACCACAATTGGGAAGACTATTTGGGGAGTATTCATCATTTTCAGACACGCTCATGTCTACTATTCATTGACTAAATCATTGATGGTTGGATCAGTTTTATTCCCCATATTCCGATGATTTAACCATCTTTATCCTATTAAAACATCTGGATTTATGATGTAAGTTTATGTTTTTTGATGGCCATGACCAACTGTTGGTGTTCATCATACACCACATTCCCCAGCACCACCGTGGCTTCCCACCACATGGCGCGTCAGGGCTGGAGCCGCGGACACCTGAAACGCATGGCTTCACTGGGAAAAGATACGGTTGGTGGTTTAATGGGATCTAATGGGAATATATACTATTAATAATGGATAATATATGGTGAATATATGGTTAATGATGGTTAATGATGGTGAATAATCATCTGGTTGGTGGTTGACCTACCCCTGTGAAAAATATGAAAGTCAATGGGAAGGATGACATCCCATATGTTATGGAAAATAAAAAGTGTTCCAAACCACCAACCAGTTTCATGATACGCTTTCCATTCTCAGTCAGGAGTTGGGCCTGCTATTTTTGACCTCTCGGCATGCTTGAAAAGTGATGATAGTGATGTTCTTCACGACTTCAGGTCCCAACATCTGGGCATGGGTGAAACCTAGTACCTCTAAACGACCGGCTGAATCTACTGCAAAGAAAACGACCAAACTTTGTGGTCAAATCCTTAAAAGATAGTCATACCTTCTGGGAACCAATTCTCACACTGAGTACTGAACAACCTAGGCAGGGTAAGCCTGTTTTCTATCAAAAATTGCAAACTCTTGGTGAATTTTCTGCTGGTTGTGATGACCCTTGATCGTGCCAGGCTTTACCATAATAGAGTCAAACATGCCGGAGAAATCGCTTCTGAGTAGCGGCCTTCTCTCATTCTTCCTCGTTTCTGTTGCAATGTAAGCATCACCCAGCGCAACCCGGGCAATGATCAACGTTCTGGTGTGATTGCACTCACAGCATTTTTTGTGCTGGTGGCAAGTGTATTGATGACTCTTGCAAGCTGCACATGCGAAGCAAACACCAGCACCATAGAAAGCACGCTCGCAGGTTCGGTGGTCAAACCCCTCTCGGACGATGGAATGTGCGTTGGCCCAAGACGTACCGTGCAACAATTTTTTTTCATCTGAGGTCCATAGCCAATGCCTTGCCACAGTCAAGAGTCCATTGATATCCGCCCAAGAAGTTGCCACAGCCATCAAGATCCAGATCTGCAGAAACAACGGAAACTTTGGATGCAGCGTGGTCCTGCCGCATTGCGGCTAACCTTGCTTTGTATCGATGCCAAAGGCGAGTGTTCTCAATACGATAGACAGTTTCAATTTCTGCCCTGCTCATGCAGGAACAGTCACTGTTCTTGTCCCATGCGTGTCCCAGACCACTATTTCGCAGAATATGGAGAAGTGCATTCCAAATGAGAGGGTCCATCACTGCTTTGTAGAAGGACACTGCATTCCCTTCTTCCAGTTGATGCAGGTAATCAGCTGCAGTGGTTGACCATTGCGGAGGAACGCACGCCGAAAAACGAAAAAGGCGCATTGTCTGCGTTGTCATGTGTTTTTTGCTGCATCAGTTTGAAATCCACCAACCGATCCACTCCACCAGAACTTATGGTTGAATAGCGACTGTTGGGACTCCCGCTAAGGTACTCCCAGTACGCCTTATGCATCTTCTCGTTTCCCTCAGATGTAAATGCCTCCCAGCAATAATTCTGATACTGCCAAGTAACACCCGGACTGTGCACAACACGGGAGATATTCTTCTGAATCTGCAATTGCTCTCTCAGCTCTGCAATTTCATCCGCCATAACTTTCACTTGATCTTGCAAGGTTGCACACTTTTTCTCTGCCGCTGTAAACTTCTGATGCTGGTCAGCCAACTTCCGCAATTGTCTGGTTCTATTGTGCAACACCTGTGTTGCGATGTTCTTGGCTTGTGCATGGGCACGGCCTGTGGGATATGCCCCAGTGACATTGTCTGGAGGGGCTGTGCGCAATGTAGCAGGGAGGTACAAAGGGGCTACCGCACGCCCACAAAGATGCACCCTTCCGAGAAGAGTCTGCAACATCTGCAGGAGTCTGGGCACTAGGTTCTGCCACGGCTTGCGCTTCAAGTTGTTCGATCAACTTCAAGCATTGCTCTGAAACCAGCTCTGAAATCAGATCCAAAGCCTCTGGGAGCAGCTAACGTGGCAGCCCCCGAGTCCTCATGTTGTGGCTCCAGCGCTTGTTCTTTGAGAAAGGCCAGCAACTCACACATCTCAGAGTGTGCTTGGGCCATCGTTCAGGTTCTCAAATGGTTGGCGCTGTGCCGGTGTAATCATCAAACCACTTTTGAATGCATGTCATGACTGTCATTGAGATGATCTATGCTTCCATGGTACATTCCCACAAAACCTATATATATAATATATATAATATATAATATATATATATAATATATATATAGTTATATATATATATATTATATATATACGTATATATACTATACAGACTCTGCATGTCAAATGATGCCGATTCATGGGCACCCGGTGTCTTAACCACTGCCGATGTTGCTTGAGCTTTTTCGAGCACCAGTTGATGTTGGAGTATCTGAAATAACCACCTAGACCCTCCAAGTAACTTGAAACTGGTTAAGGTCATCAACATATCCAAAACCATGGGTTGTTTTCTCAATATCATACATCTTGAAATTTGGGTGCGTCTAAACATGCACCCCAGTGATGGCAATTGTAATTGTGGACAATTTGGGAACATGATTAACCAATGGATTTGGGGGGGCTCCAGTTTTCAGACACATCATATGCTTTCATATGCTTTCTACATGTTTCTGTAATCCTGGGTGTTATTTCATCAATCCAAATCCGAAATAAGAAAACTACTTTGGGAACATCCCCTATGGAACACATCTGCATCTAAACATCTCCCAGGTTTGTTGGTGACCCTGCCAGTCAACTCTTTTTTTCCACCATTTATATCCATTTATGTAGATCAGTCCTGGATTTTGCACGGATTGTGCAGATCTATCTTAGTTTAAACTGGGGTAAATTATATAACCCCATATCAACATCAAATCTTATGAAATCTCATGAAATCTCCATGTCCTGTGGCTTAAATCCACGTTTTTGGTGGTGAAAACTCCAACTTTTCACTCATGACTTGTTCCCTGCCTCTTTGTTGGATGTCTCGATGAAGTTTTGCAGCTCCCTGACCTGTCTGTGTTTTTTTTCGCGAAAGGTGTTTGGTCTGGTGAAAGGTTGCAACAGCTTGGAAAACTTGTGGACAACTTGGTACTTAGATATCTTAGATGTCTACCTAGTCTCTTTCTTGCACTTATTTTTGTTATTGTTTGACCGTGCTGACTGCCCTCTGCATAAGACGTGGATTCATCATGCACTGGCAACGATTTGGTGCAAATATAGGTTTACTCGATCCTGTTCCACACACAATTTCTGTGAATACGTTGCGGTTTTATGTTCAGTTCATCCTCCAAATACGCAATTCATTGCGGATCATCATCGTCATCATCATCATCATCATCATCATCATGCCCATCCCAAAGATGATCAAATATGACAGATCTGAACTCACCAATCACGGGCATGATCTCTAACACCGATCCCTGGCAAGCGCACCGCGTCGCAGTCTTCTGCTGCCTGGGTATATGTCAAGATGGTGGATCTCCCTATCATTGGGATAATCCCCCTATACAGTCGCCATCATTCCAGTGACGTCACGAACTGAGGTCACTATAATTCAACCAATTTTTATGATCATTTTGGAGTGGACAAAAACCATGATCAATCATGGGAATATGATGGGACTTGGCGTGGGGTATATGTCCTATTTGTGGGTCCCAGGCCCTTTCCTGACTTCTCAACAGGTGCTGTTTGCAAAGAGAAAGGATGGGATGCCACTGATACAATCCATGTCAAGATATGTTAAGGATTCAGGGTTCTTTGGCGATGCCACGTATTTTGCGTCTTTGCCCAGATTGTGTCCATGCATCTCAGGTATATAATCTCAGTTCAAGTGCATCCAACCATCAGTTGCAGGTGCGAATTCCGCGCCTTTGCGACACCTTCGAGATCATACCTGAAAATTTGCACCACCAAAGTAGTGCCAAAGATCAGCCCATCTGTCCGTCTGTATAAAGCCTTGGCGAAGATTATCATATTTTCAATTTGTCAAGTCCATGAGTGGGATGATATCTTGGGATTCCCATGACTCATCTTCTCCTGCACATCCATTTGTGACCCATTGATCCAAAGGCTTTGGAAGTTTTATGGTCTTCCAACGTCCAATATCAGGGCTACCGGATGCTACTCCTTTGATCTATCATCACGCTGCCGACATGCTGCCGACACCCTTAAAACTAAACTGGAACAGCAAAAAATCGTGTCTGGATACGGACTGCATGATGATATGGTGTAGCTACTAATCCTTATTAATCATTATCAACATTTATCAACCATCATTATTCATCAACTAACCAGTTCGAGGGCGTCTCTTTCCCATCCACAACGAAACGTGGGCACTGCATGTTCCGCAACCATGAGGTCTCGTAGACCGCCAGCTTGCGCAGGCAGTCACGCAAGCATTGCCCGCGCCTTGGTGGGCTGATTGGCGGCAAGGGTCCGCAGGTTTGATCATGTTTAGCATGGAGGTTTCCAAAAAGGGGTACCTCCAAGTCATCCAAAATTCACTGTGGTTTTTGTTTGAAACCTATGGTTTTGGGGACCCCCATTTTGAGAGACCCCATATGGTTTTGTTTGAAAATTAAGGGTAAAACCATGGAAAAACAAAATCCAGGATGTGAAGGGACAATAATAGTTTGGACCTTGGGATTATGGCTTACCACCAGTGGCGGGATAGGACTGATGTGCCACCAGTTTTGCATATTTCACCCCAGAGCCTCCGTATCAACATGGGGAAACTCACCAGTCTCCAGTCTCCAGCATTTTTGGCAATTGCCAAACTGACCTAAAGTTGAAAGTTGAATATCATCAACCTTTGGGACGCAAACCTGAACATCAAAATAAAGATTGGATGCTTCCTTTCCGTCATCAACCATCACCAATCCAAGCCTGCAGCTGCCCATTAGCAGCCCATCAGCTCCCGCTCTCTTTTGTGGGGAGCTTCACAGCAGTCAGTGGTCAACACAATCCGATTCATTGGAGCTCAATCGACAAAGTCCAAGGCTACGGTCGAAGTCACATCTGGCCTCGGTGGAAACATCAGACCCAGATGATCCATGTGATTCAACTGGGGCATGACAAACACCATACTGACCATAAATTTACCCGTGGCCAAGCCCCGCTGGACCAGTCTGGGGCACTTTTCCTTGCTATTTGCTACATTTTGGAACAAAAACCTGTACTTTGCTAAAATTTGGAGCTAAAATTTGCCATTTGCACTGTTCATCGATTTTTCTATGATTTTTCATCGAAATTTGGAGTAAAACTGTTACTCCTCGATTTTTCCGTGGTGTTCATTGATTTAACCAAAGTGTTCATCGATTTTTCCATAGTTTTCAATTGAGTTTTCCATGGTTTCAATTGAGTTTTCCATGGTTTCAATCGATTTTTCCATGCATAACATGCACCTAGTGAACATGTAGAAAATATGTTGAAACATAACCGTGTTGTGTCTAAATAGTGGCATTGGATGCTATCATAGTGCTGGTTGGTTTAGGGTTTGTTTATGGTTGGTTTAGGGTCATTTAGGATTGGTTTAGGATTGGTTTAGGGTTTATGTAGAGTTGATTTAGGGCTGGTTTAAGGTTCATTAAGTGTTGGTTCAGAGTTTATTCAAGGTTATTTAGGGTTGGTTTAGGGTTTATTTAGGGTTAGTTTAGGGTTTATTTAGGGTTATTTAGGGTTGGCTTAGATTTGTTGGTTTCGGGTTTATTTAGGGTTGGTATATGGTTGGTTTGGGGTCGTTTAGGTCTGGTTTAGGGTTTATTTAGGGTTGGTTTAGTCTTTTCAAAGCTTGGTTTAGGGTTTAGGGTTTATTTAGGGTTGCCTTAGGGTCTATTTAAAGTCTGTTGAGGGCTGGATTAAGGCATATGTAGGCATACAAGGTGTGTATATAAATATAGACACAGACAGACAAACAGACAAACAGACAGACAGGCAAACAAACAGACAGACAGACAGACAGACAGACAGATAGATTAGATAGATTAGATAGATTAGATAGATTAGATAGATTAAATAGATTAGATAGATTAGATAGATTAGATAGGTTAGATAGATTAGATAGATTAGATAGATTAGATAGATTAGATAGATTAGATAGATAGACAGACAGATGAATGGATAGATCGATTGATCGATTAGATAGATTAGATAGATTAGGTAGATTAGATAAATTAGATAGATTAGATAGATTAGATAAATTAGATAGATTAGATAGATTAGATAGATTGTATAGAAAGATTAGACAGAGAGATAAATAGATAAGGTGCAATAAGATAAAAATAAGATAAAACTATATTATATAATGTTAAGTAAGATAAGATTAGGTTAGATTATAGATTAGATTAGATAGGTCGATAGATCGATCGATAGATAGATGGATAGATAGTTGGTGCATGGTAAAGCCACAAAAGACACACACCCACAAAAGCTACAGAAGCCACAAAAACCACAAAGCCAGGCTGGAAAACAAAAAAAAATCAAAAACAATCCCCACCAACAAAAACCATCCCTTCAGAACAATAGATTGGGGCTGTTATACTTGGCCACCATTCACAAGATTGGCCGGGAGAAATGGGGTGTTTGCCCCTGAGTCGTCTCGATTGCCAAGCCACAAACACTGCCCGTTTCTTGCTGTTCACGAAGCTGCCAAAATGGCTGCCGCAATCCTCCTGACGCGTGGCACTACCGGGTGCTCCTCCATTGATTACAGTATGCTTCTTGATGCCTCTGTCTTTTCAGAAGCCACATGTCTCATGAACTCTCATGAAATCTCATGAACAGTCTTCCAAGTCTTTTCCCAGTATCCCGACTTCGGAAGCGAGACTTCAAGTTATGGTTTAGCCGACCCATCAATCATCCAGGTCCAGCTGTGTCAGATCCTTGGCCAAGGCATTGCAACTTTCACCGCTTTTCAGCTTTGTGAGCTTCCTCATCTCTTCACATCCTGCGGAAGGACCGCAGCCAGCGGGACAGCTGGAGATCAAGCCATTTGGTATCACAAAAACTGAACGGTTAGTAGTTGGAGTGAAATCTCTGGCTGAAAGACTCATTGTCCATGCATTGAAAGATTGACTTGCAGAACAACCAATTGGCATGGTACGAGTACTGGCCGTAATCATGAGGTTTGATGGGAAGATCGGTCCTGATGCCTTCAAGTCTACTTGCAATCATCATTCTGATCCCTTATCAGCATATTAATTGACACGCATGACCAGTTTGGCGAAGCACTGCTGACCCACAAGTCTGGGTGGATTGCATACACATCTGGTTTCTCAATATTCAATACCATCTGGTAATCAAACGTGGCAATGTAAAATCCTTTGTTTATAGATGATTTCCCCATTAATTAACACCTCCATTTATAGACACTAAGATATTTACATGTACTGCGCTGTTGAAAATTGTTGGGCCGCTCCTTCCCTGAATCTGGGGCCCCCCACCCTTGACTTCGCAACAGGTGGCGTCGTCGCCCGGAACACTCTGGGCTCCTAAGGGGAAGGCCACCGAGCGAACCCCCATTTCACCGGGCAATGGAACATCTCTATATTTACCCTCTTGTAAACTAACATAGCTATTGAAAATTGCAATTTACAGTTGATTTATATACCCATTAAACATGGTGATTTTCTATAGTTATGTTAATTTACCAGAGAGTACTAGGTGAATCATCTACAAACCGGACATGCGGGTTTCAACCATTTTGGACGATTTAGATACGGTGTCCGCGACATGAAAATCGGAAAACATCCTGGGAAGGGGATATACGCAGCCATACGCAGCCATACAATATCATACAAGGGCAATCTCGCCTTCATCACCATCATTCATTCCCAACATATACCCCATTGTGATCATATCTCCATGTTATCCACATGTTTACTTTCTTGCTGCTGGAAACTTCCACCACCCGCCTCGTGCAGGTTCTACTTGTTCTGCATGTTTCCGCACGCTTAACTGAAATGGATAAAACCCTCTGGCGGAAACACCTCTAGCTGGATACAGGAGTGGTCAGTAACCATAATTACATTGTTACTTTTATCCCCAAGTTTTGCTGGGGAAGAATCCCAAGATCCAGTGATTCAACGGAATTGTGTAAGGGAAAGCCGACAGACCATCCTCTAATATCCCGTAGATGTTTCCTCAAATCACCCCACAGGAAACACATCTTTGCTGGATAATTCTCCCTTAACCTCGTTCTATAACTCCTCATTCTTCCTGGAAAAAACCAAAGTTTCAGTGGTCAAATCCACGTCTTGTTGGCTCAACTCCCATTTTTCACCAGTCATTTCTGGTAAAATCACGTAACATCTTCAATTTTTACAGAATTCTCAGAATTCGACCAGGAATTTCCTAACTTTCCCTATTCAAAATCCAAAGTCGACCAAGCGACGCACTTCTACTGCCACCAATCCCTTGGAGCAGCTGTGAGCAGCACAGGTTTTCTCACAGCAGGCCTCATCCGTGCGTCCTCAGTGACTTGGGGACCCCCCATGGCTTCAGAACCCCCAAAAGAACCAGGTGGTTATTCATGTGTCTACGTACAAAAGTATGATATATGTTTGTATCTGATAGTGTATATATATATATATATTATAATTGAATATAATATAATATAATAAAATATAAATATATGCAATATTGTGTTGTATGTATAAAATTTAGAACGTATATGATCTTGGCCTCCTCGGTGGATCCGCAACTGTCTTCACCAAGGGTCCATGTGCGCCATCCTTCACGACCGTGTTCGCCTGCGCGAAAACACACGTGCTAAAAAACAACAGGTTTAAGATATGCGCCCTATAATTGCCAACACAAAAAAAGGCCACCGACCCTGAAATCAGAATTTCAAGTTGCCTTTTTAGAGGATTGTCAGTGACTGTCATAATGCAGATTTGCCAACAAAGGTCTTCTTCAATGGGTAATTATATACTTTCCCTTGGAAAGAATTGAAATGACACTTGTCGCCACCTAGACGCACCTGCGCACTGCAGTTGTGCGAATCGCAAGGAGGTAAACAACAAATCTCCGCTGTGTTGCCGATCATTCCTTTCTTCGCCTCGACATGAGGACCACAACACGACGATTCAATTATATAGACTCTATAGACCAATTAACGGAGAAAATTAACGGAGAGAATCTAAGATCATTGGTTTTCTCCAGCTAATGACATTTCCAATGTCATAAACACCGTGTACCTGGCCCCGTCTCTGCTGGGAATCTATTTGTGACACTTGGGGGTGCCCATGGACCCGCCAAATCCGTCATTAATTTCAGTATTTCACTGTCACAGCCTCTCACAATCCATATGGGGTCATCATATTGACTCGTACCCTATGAATAAATACGGTATATATGGAATGAGGCAATACGCGCTAAACCCGATCAACTCAATAATTTTCCTGACTCTTGGCTGCTTCATAGCCATCAACAGGGGTAAACCGTCCATTTTGAGACAAAACCATATGTGTCACATGGCAGCATATGGCATCAACACGACAAACCATTTTGCATCCAATGGTCTACACCATTTCAATATATTTCATCCACTAAAAAATGTGCGAATATCACCGGGGCAGGCACAGGGGCTACCTCAACCCCAATCTGGACTAGACAGTCGCGGAACGGGATTGGAGATCCACCCTGCTGGACATTGGAAGGACTGGCACTGCATGAGGCAGCACATCTCATCTGAGGGATCCTTGGATGGTTTGGGTTTCAAGTGCTTGGAGCTGGTTGGCCATTGCTAAAGTCACTCAGCTGAAAAGTGTGTCCAAGATGTTTTACATTCTATCAAAAAGATCTCAACTGAGGTGCTCAGCTTTTCTGTGCCCCTGTACCTGGACCTTCCCTCTACAGAATCAAAGCTTCTGCCACAGCTGCCACAGTTTTGGGTTAGTCAAACAAGTGATCCCAACAAAAAGCGACTCTCTCAGAGAATCCACCATAGGCCAAGATTCGAAAGCCTCATCATGGGTATGGTCCTTTGTCCATCCGTCACTGCAGACCTTGCTGGCATCATGGGAGGCTCTGCGGCCAGGTAGTGAGGATGCTGGTTAAGAAGGGCAGAAATTCTACATCAAACTGGTGCATGTGCTTAAGCAGCACTGAAAGTTTGAATATTGCAAGCTGCATGCGTGGCTGGCCCACAGTTCCAGGCAAGTGGCTGGCATTCACTCTATGTTTTGGTGCTCGTGCAACTCTGATTCTCTGCTGTTGACTGGAGAAAAAATCACATGTGCGATGAAAAAAACTCCAGCAAGTTGATGACTCAAGTGAAACTAACGAATTCGGCTGCCCAACTGCTTGCCATTCGACTTAGCATGGGGTTTGACTGAGCCTTGGCTTTGGCTTTGTGGTTGGACGGGCTCTATGTAAGAGTCTTCTTTGGCTGGGACACATGAGTTTCTCACGTTTCACTCCTCTGTTTGGAGATCCTGGCTTCTCCCTTTTCACTTCTCTGGCAGGAAATGATGGCTTCTCTCTTTTCATTCCGCTTACAGGGGCTGATGCCTCGGCCTTGTCATCGTCCTTGTCATCGTTTACAAGAACCATGGGTGCCTCTCCAACCGGCTTGGCTCTGCACCAGCCAGCTCTGCAGCATGCTCCTCAACCCCACATCTGTAGCTGGGACCCTCCAACCAAAGCACCTGGCTGTGATGGTTGTGATTCCCCAGTTGAGGTCAAGAGGTCGCTGATGAACTCAAGAGTTCCGACGCAAATGTCGCTTGTAGATATCAATGCTACGATGTCTGGTCCCTCTTCAATGTCGCCTTCTCCAACCCCTTGTTCAAGCTCCGCCAGGTCGGCAGCAGTTACGGGAATTCTGGTGCCATTATCGAGGCTTTTCTATGCTGGGATCTTGACGGCCATCACGTTTCTGAACTCCAGAACCATGAGCCTGTACTTGTGATAATGTACAAATCCGGGTGGATGGCTCGGCACAGTTGACATAACACTAGAGTACCAAGCCGGCTGGGGATTGACGTGCAATCTCGAGTGATTTGCCAATGGCCGTCACACCTTGATGGGCTTTCTTGGGTTCAAGTGAGAACCACCAACAGCCTTTCAACTGAAGTTTTCCATTCTGACTGCCTTCACCAAGGCTTCGAGGACATAGGATATCTTCAGGCACAGCAATGGTTAACAACATCGCCACATCGGACCATGCTTGCTTGTCTCCCTGGCTGCTGATGTAGTTCCATGTAGTTCCCTGGTCCTCGAGAAGAGCTACTAGCGCCTCCCTTCAGACGTGCAGTTCCGCAACAAACGACGGCACAGGTCACTGTCAGAAAAGGAAGTGTTGCCATCATGTTGCTATCAAAAAAGAAAGTGTTAGCAAGGGCAAAAGACTTCGGATGCCTCTGGTCGCCATTGCATCCGACTACGAGGAGTAGCAGGCACGGTTTTCACAAGAGCTGTGATTCTCCTGCTGTTGCCTAAGAGGATGGTTTGGACATATGGATGCAACAACCATCACATGTGCTCAAGCAGCACTCACATCGAAGGAGACCAGGTAGTGCCACTTGAGCACATGCACCAGTTGGATGTATCATTTCTGCCATTGTTAACCAAATTCCCAACTACCAGGAGTTTTGGCAAAGACAAACAAGCTGGTCGACTCCCCCGAAACTAGTTTCCTTAAAAGTGCATCTGTCTGGTTGGATGTATGACCATAGTTTTAGAATGTTTTAGATATATATAATTGGATAGTTCTAGGGGCCCCATATCCGAACTCATGGAACTTGAAATCCTTTGAGGTTAAAATCCCATACTTACACCATGCTATACCCATTATTTTCAAGCCTGGACCCCTGGCGACTCATTGACCACACGTTTCCGCGCCCAGCGGCGTGACTGCGGCACTGCCGCTCGCAGCAGTCCTCAGAGCGCTCCGCTTGCCTGCCGCTGGGTGGCTGTATGTTCATATATCCATGTGTACATTCAGATTAATGCCTAAGAGGATATATATATATATACATGGATATACGGATAGATATTGGAAGTACAGTATATGGAGATGACCTATATGATATATACCTATGATAGCCAGATAAATAGGTTATGGTTTCTGTTGTAGAAACACATATATATATATATACATATTGAATACTTGGTGGTTCATCCTGCTCACTAACTGGTTATTTAGTGTTTGTGGGTGTATAAGTATCACCCAGGTAAAAAAGGCACACACACCAATTGGGGGACTTTAGCCAGGGTTCCTAACCAGTTCCTAAGTGGGATGATCCTCCAAGTAGTTAGCATACAACATATACCCTATGTATATATATACATAAATCATATAATGTATATATATATATACGTATATATCGTGTATATATATACATATATATTAACATGGATATGGGGTACATCTCATTAGATATCTGGATGTGCGTGTCCATGTTTGCATGTATGAATCTAGTATGACTATATATATATGTTATGAACTATGACACATAATATATGATTGTGTATCGTACCACATCATTCCAGGTAGGAATATCATGTTATCCCAAATCCCATAGTGGGTTGATATGCCAATATTTCATACATTTTCATACCAATCAGCAATGCAATACGGGATTTCGCGATCAGGGTATATTCCCCAGTCAACTTGGATCTGCATTGCTGGGAACCGCAAAAAATAAAACCATTCCCTACAGATTCCCCCAGTCCTAGTGGATTTCCCACTGGGAAAACCTAAAAACCCATCGACTCAGCAATTCCGCAATCTTAGAGTTGATCAAACCAGCTAGAAACCTTCATTTATAGAGAATATATGGAGATTATATAGAGATTATATAGAGAGTATATAGAGATTATATAGAGATTATATAGAGATTATATAGAGATTATATAGAGATTATATAGAGATTATATAGAGATTATCCTATATTTTCTCATGATAATCCCATGAAAAATCCCATTCCGGATGTTTTTCTTGTCGCTCAGCTACTGGCTGCGTTTCTGCGGTGGAATCCCAAAGCCATGCTGAGCATCACCTGAGACGCAGCTGGGGTACCCACATGACTTGTGAAAGCTCCAATTTGTGTAAAAACATAGGAAAGTAATACATCGTTTATGGATGTCTATCTATGTATCAATCTGTCTATCTATATCAATCTATAAAATTCTAGAAATATATTCTATAGATTAGATTATATTCACACTTATTGCATCCGATGATGTCCTTCTGAGAATAAAACAACAGTCCAGTGATGTCCTTTCGAGAAGAAAGACATAGAGAGGCCTATCAGTTTTTCAGGAGCTGCATGGACCAAGCAGTAGCTCAATGGTCCAACAACTTACCCTGGTGCATCGGACTGCCAGTTAACAACATTTGCTCATTGTTTGCCGCGCAACTATGAAGACTTTGGGGTCGGGGTGAGGCGACTTATAGTGTTCAGTAACTTTTCAATTTGGTGGGATGTTCAAGTTTCGCCCTGACTCACCACAGTGTGGGTGCAGCTTTGCTAACCCAGCTTCAAGGGTACCGAACTAAGCCCCCCCCACACGTCCCCACACGTCCCCACACTATATTTCAAATGTCAGGAGTGGTCAGAATATTCTTTCCATCATCTCTGGCTCCACCTCCCATCGATATCAACGATCACACACATTCGACCTGGTTCCTCTTGGATCCTCTTGGATCACAGCCCGAAATTGTGAAACCCCCGTGGTTTATCTGGGCCACCCATCACCACCCATCACCACCCAACCCGAATGAACTGTTCATCTCAGTCGGTCCAAGTTGCAGGTGAAGAGCTCACAGGACTTCACACAGCAGTCATCTTTGGTGCCACCTTCCTCCAGTTTCGTTTGGTCCAAGATATATCCCGAATCACAGGCCACCTGCAGGTGATGGGCTCCAGTAAGCCGGCACTTAAAATTGCTATGGAATTCATCCGCAAGATGATCACAAAAAGCCAGCGCCAAACATTGATGAATCTTCGCAGATATTTTATGATATTTTGCTCCCTCAGATCCCTCAGCTTCCCCCATCGCCGAATCGGCTTGGCCAAGCCTTCATGCAGAGGGGCACACAGCACTCCTCATCGCTGCTTCCAGTGGAATTCATCTTCGAAGGATGTGGTGACCTCGAACACAGAGGTGACATGGCTGCGGCTAGCGCAGCGTGAAGGAGGGGAGAGAATCATCTTTGGTATCCCTATTTGCCGGGGAAACATATTGACATGAAGGCATTGGTAAACGAACCTTAATTGGCAAACAGTCTTTTTTGGATATTTTTTGTATGGTTGAATTATGAGTGCTTCTGGTTTCTCCAAGGTGGCAACATCCAAACTAGGTCTCCACTTCAGGGGACGTCACGGCTCAGAATCCAAAACGACACAGCCAGACTGGTTTTCAGATGTTTCACAGCAAAAAGGTCTATACCTGGTACACTGCTGGTCAAAACTTCTTTGATTCCCTGATTGATCCACATCAAAACATCGGCCACTTAAAAGACTCGTACTCTGGACTCCTGAGAGGTTTCATTTCAAGGGATCACAAGCCATGCAGACTCAAGTGGACAAACGATCCAGAGGAAACCACAGGATACAACAGCATGAATCAATCTTGAGGAGGCAACATCCTAGATATGGCCTGCCCTTTGAATGATCTTCTTGAGCAAGACGAACAAGAAATACGATCTCAATAGACACTGTGTGAATATCTGCCAACGGGGATCATCCGAGATCATCCAAAATTCAACCAGTTCATGCAAAAAAGTTCACCCAATCTCTTCGTGAACCTTTTTCCCACCTATAATAATTGAACAAAATCCATTCCATACCATTTCCGTCATGCTTGGAAAATCTACACGAAATTGAAACCATCTAATAAACCTTAACAAGTCAATGGGACCCTCGTCTGTGACGGAAAATAGACATTTTTGAAACCAGTAAATGGACACGGGTAAAATTGGGGTTACCCTCCGGTAATTTGTGGCAGTTTACTCTGGAAAACTACCATCAATCTCAAAAATCATCAAGCTGAGCCGTGGATTCCACAACATGTTCATCATTTCATCCATTTTCCTTAGCAAACTGTAACAAATTTCCAGACCTCTCAAATGTGGCCTGAAAATCCTCCTTTATAGATGATGTTTATTGATTTTTGCATTGCCACAGAAAATTTTTAGGGGATGTCCAAGTGCTATGTTTGAGTACCAGAGAGTACATGCCATTAATATTTCATTGTAGCCCCATACCCTCTGGTAAACTAACATAACTATGGAAAATCACCATTTATAGTGGATTCACCCATTAAAAATTGTGATTTTCCATAGCTATGTTAGTTTACCAGAGGGTATCTCCCCATTGAACCATCACCATAAAGCAGACCCTCCAAGGTGCCAGTCCCCAGTGCAGTCGTACGCCGCGCAGGTGGCTTCGCAACACTCCTCTGCGCTCGCACCTGCCGTGGCGTACGCGGCGCGGAAACCGTTTCCTGAAAACACACGGAAACCGCCCCTGGAAACAAACCCAGAGTGGATGCAAAGTGTTAAAAAAAGCCGGAAGTTCATTGTTGATTCGGAAAATCATGCCAACCTTTGGTTGAAGTTGATGGATGTTGATTCAGATGTTAATATTGATGGATCTAGAAGATTAGGAGATCTGCAACCTTCCATTACGCCTGCGACCCTGGGATGCGGCAGGACCTTTTCCAAGATGCTAGACCAAACATCACCAACTGGTCACCGACACTTGTGACTTTAAAATAAACCAACTGATATCCAATTGTAGTATCACCCCCAAAAAAAACCAACATCAATAAGATAAGCTGGTGGGGAGCACAGCTAGGGTCCCAATCTCGCACCTGCTTTGTCGGGCTGGCCAACCGCCGGGGCACTAGTTGGAAAAAAGCTTTCCGTGAAGTATTAGAACATATTAGAACTGGGGTTGTGTAAAACTGGGTACCCAAAAAATGCAAGTTACCATGGTGAAAATCTATGGCTGGTGCTGGATGGATCAGGATTCTACAACGGGGATGTCTTTTTGTTGGTTGTTTACCCAATTGTCCAATGGTTGTACCTCACCAATATGGTTGCTTCTACCCACCCAAAAGGGTTGCTAGCACTTTTTGTTGACCCGTTGGTTTTCTTGCTCAAATGACCTCACTAGGGTTAGGTCTATGGCTATGTAATGTTACATCCATCAATACCTCCATATTTAATAACCCATAATACACACAGTTCCTCTCGTTTCTGTCCCCTTCCTGTATCTTGATCCATGCTCAAGCAGGCTGTTGGTCAAAACCTTGTACCCACAAAGAACACCAAACCAGCTTGTAAATGGATGTTCATTTTCTCAACTACAGTAATTGAGTATAGGCCAGGTATTATCTCATCCAACTATCCTGGAAAAAAACGTGGCCAATGTTCATTATCTCATTATATCCCAATCATCAATATCCCCTCATCAATACCAAAACAGCGGGCAAATGGATGTTCATCAACTTCATCAATGTATATGAACATTATCTATCCCAGTCAGTGATCCCCACATGTCCCCAGCACCTTCTCATTCGTGCCACACATAAAGCTGCCATCCTCCAACGCAGCGCTGCAAGTCTTATCGCAACACTCTGCGTCGCTGGCGCCTGGCGGGCTGGGATGGATGAAGCGAATCATCGCTGAACCTGCACCATGTTGGGCATACGACAAAAACTAGGGACCTCTCCAAATGGATCGCTTAGGGCAATAAGATACAAAAACGTCCAACTTGTTGGTCCGTTGATACCCAACTTCTGACACATCCCCATCTCCTTACACTGCTTTGAGGTGAGTGAATATATTGACTTGGAGATATTAATCATCCCAATCTTATAGGTCAACATATGTTTTCTAAGTTGGATGGATTTGACTCCACTTTGTGCCAGGTTCATCACCGCTACGCCTGTGTTGCTGTCATAGCTGCTGTTGGCCACAAAGCCATCGCTGCAGTCATGCAACTTGCAGGTGGCCAAACAGCACTCCTGCGGCCAGCGAAACATTGGATACACTCTAGTACTAAATGCATGCCAATGTTGATTTTATCATCAAACATAGGGATATAATGGGTATGTGTATAAATAGTGTATACATGTATATTTAACTATATATATACATAAGTATATATATATATATGTGGGTATATATCCTCTGGTCATTCAACAGTTTGCTGTGGAAAAACTCATTTTTTTATGGGTAAATCATCGAACTAAAAAGTCCATTTTCCATACCGAGCTCTTAAACTACCGGAGGGGAAGGCGACCCAGGAACGGAGAAGCACGTCGTGGGCTTTTTACAGCATGATGGAAGAGTAGTTGTTGCGTCTCCCATGGAACTGAGGACCAAACTACATCAAATGGATGGAATTGGATTCATCATGACTCATGACTTGGTGGTCAAACATAGTTAAACCTGTGCTTCCCAACACATGTGCCTAGGAATTGCCATGCTGGAAACTCCAAGACCATGATCTCACCAGGCCCCAGGCGGCCTCATTGCTGGCTCCTTCCAACGCCTGATACTTCAGTGCACCATTCATCGTTTATGCGAAATCTGGGGAACCCAAAGACATGCATTCTTCACGCTTTATCTGGTTGGTGGTTGACCTACCCCTCTGAAAAATATGAGTTCGTCAGTTGGGATGATTATTCCCAATATATGGAAAGTCATAAAAGCCATGTTCCAAACCACCAACCAGATATTCTTGGATGCGTGGACCCCAGTGGAACGAGTCTCGCGCTTCGATGCGGAATTTCTACCAGAGACACAGTCGCAATGGAAGACTTCTCATGAACACCGACCCTAGCGACCTGTGGTTGACCTTGAAAGAGTTGCTCTCAACAAATGATAGTTTCACATAGTGTTTCTATATGTTCCTATGACATTCCCATCACATTGTTTTCCCATCATATCTTCCCATCATACCCATGTGATCCATAAGCCAATAGGATTGCCCATTTTCGATTGCTTCACCCACCACTTTGCCTTGACCCCGAGCTTGGGAACGTATCCCTCTGAACAGCTCCAAGCGTCACACGTGGCACGTCCTTTTCAAAAAGGACCCAGCTGGGGCCGGTTTGGGGATCCTATAGGATTTCACAGCTATATCATCGGAATATCATGGCAATACACATGTTTTTTTTTGAGATCATAATGATCTTTTTAGAAATTCACGGATCACATTGGAAGTTCAAAGGGGAAAGGTGATCATGATCATAGAACATATATACAGTTAATCATAGTTACATAGTGGTAATCATAGTATTTGAAAATCATGGGAAATGGCTAACAGCTAATCATACCTCCCTAAAGGTGACAGAATTTAAGGACGGGGTGCTGGGGGGCTTAGTTGAAATACCAAAGCATTTCATGGGACATGTCATGGGAAAGATCATGGGAATGTCATGGCATCCTGATCAAGGTGTGGCCAAAAAACATCTAAGCTCAAGACATGGATCATGTCAACATTGAAGAACAAGAAGACTTTGATCACGCTGGACATAGTTTGCAGCAATGATATGTGCACTGTGGTTGATCACAATCAATCCGCCATCGTCCAGAAATCGTTTCTTGATGATGTTTATTCATCGTAAGGATCCTTTGAAAACTACCATTCCAATGACTCCGTGTTCATTTGACACCCCCAAAGTTGGTCAAAGAGAGAGGAGAATCTCGACCTGTCAACTTGAAACCCAATATACCGCGCAATCAAGCCAAGCTTCCTTGGAATTTCATGCATTTTGCACCATGCCCACTCAGACCCATTCATCATGTGGGATTCCAGCAACAATATTAGAAACAACAAAATAAACAACATATAGCAAAATTATATGAACATTTGTCAGCAACATGATCTACATGACTTGAAGGTATAGCCTTTTTTCAATTAGGCAGAACTTTGCCAAACCGGTCCTGCTCGAAGTTTCGAGGCGATGGCCAAACATGGTACCAGGACCAAGCCGGCGAACCTTGGTTCGAGTTCCCATGTAACAAAGATTGGGCACCACCCAAGTATCCCCAGGGGGGTGTCACTTAAGAATGCCCATCAAATCAAAGTCGGACACCTGAGGAGTGAGAAAAAAACGGTGCAAAAGCTGATCGTATTTCATCCTTGTCAGCCCCATTCTGCTATTCTGCTACACTCAAAACTATTTCTATTCACCTATAGCAAAAGAAAAATCCAAAAACGAGGAGGGTGATATTTGGTTCCGTCCAATGACATGATTTGGGGGCTTCTTAAGTCATGGGGATCCCCGAGTCACCATGGCTGTATCTTTTGGCATGGTCTATCATTTTGGCTTTGGGTACCCCCCCATGACTAGAAAACCTCTATGACTCTATGGCATTATTCAAATGGTCATTTTGGCTTTGGGTACAGCCCCATGAGGAAACCTCTATGGCATCCATAGGATGGATTAACCACCTTGAACCCCGGCTCCATAGATCCTACGATCCCAAGATTTGGCAAGGCCAAGAAGCTTCATTCACGCCTCAGTCACTGCATGAAAAACGTCAGCCGAGAACATGACAACCGTCTTGAGGTTGATAAGTGCGATATACATGTACATATAATATGACATATACCTATGCCTATACTGTACTTATATAATGTATACTTTATTTTTCAAGTATCTCTCTCTCTATATATATTATATATATCATTGTCATTATTATTAATATTACTATTATAAAGGGTTGAATCTTAATCAAACACAGCCACACATCCAGAGTGTTTTTGCTGCCTGGAACTCATGAGGCCAAGGCGCATGGGGGCCGCGCCGCCTCAAAACCTTGAAACGCGCGCCGCCTCAAGGTCTGTTCGAGCCGAAGCAGCATCGCCGGTCGAGACATGTCAAGACATGACAAGACTCAGGTCTAGTGAAGGTGATTCAAACATGGTGAACATACCCTCTGGTTATTTAACATAGCCATGGTATAGATGGCCCTAATCGAAATAGATGGTTTACCTATTAATAGCATGGTGGATCTTTCCATGGCAAACTGTGAATGTCATAACCAGAGGGTATATTTTTAACATCCGGCAATCAAATGTGGCAGTGGAAAATCCCCTAGAAATTTTTGGTAATGGGAGTATTACCAATGTGTTAACATGCTAAAAATGTACATGGTTTCCAAGATCCCAAAAAAACAGTTTGTCATTACCCAATAGTGGAGCAAACATTATTCTTGAAAAAGATCCACTATCAGACTCTCTCTCTCTCTATTTATATATATATATATATCAGAATATATCAGAGTATCTCAGGCTAATGATGTCAGAACAGAAAATGATACCCTCTGGTAATTTTTAACCGTTTGCGAAGTGGAAAAATCACAATGTTTTATGGATGCCATGGGTAACTCACCATTTTTTCATGGGTAACTCATCGAACCAACCACGGATGTCATAGCTGGTGAAAGTCAGGTCTCTGAGACGCTGGCTTTTCCTCCATCTCCTGCATTCAGGAGATGCCCACGGGAAAAACTTCCGAACATGGTGTTTATCATTGCAAGGCATCTATTAACTGTCTATTCCAAAGATGTGGGGTGTTTATCATTGCAAGGCATCTATTACGTATAGCATAACCAGCCATTACGAATTTTAACTGTTAGGTATGATCGATTAGTGGAAACTTACAGGAGGCAGTGGTAAATTCCTCTTCCTATCAGCCAGGTCAACCCGGAGATGGACAGCAGAGGACATTCCCTCTACAAAACCTGGACATCAAACATCGACACTTTTTGTTGGTGAAATGGATTGCATCTATTCATATTATGACTGTAAATTCATGATTCATGATAATTTAATTATTACGTATAACACCGTATAACTATAACACACATTAACAATCTAAAACAATGATCTATCTGGGCAATTTATAATATTTCACTAACCTGAATTAAGGCCATAAAAGGGTATGATTTCCCTTACTAACCATGATTTCCAGTGAGGTCGTAGTGAGGTCGTTATAATTTACCCAGATCTATAGCACCAATAGGAAAACATGTATGGAATATTTACCTACATTGACCCCTAAAGTAATTTAAAATAATCCCAATGTAGGTAAATATTCCATACATGGATCCTTAGGGAATGATCTATAGCACCAATAAATATGATCCGGGGATCAAAATGGGCGGCTGAACCGCCAGCTTCCTGGAGAACTTCCAGCACATGTGCCATCTGCTGCTCGTAGAGACACTGCGCCTTGTTCGCCTGAAAAAATATGTGGAATTATATAAGATGATTTAAGCATTTAAGCTATATATATATATCTATCCATGTGAACTCTGGAATTTTATAGGATATTGATGGGATACCATCCAATTCGATGCAATTTAACAGTTTGCTATGGACAACGCCCCTTTTTTAAATAGGGAAACCATCGAACCACTTGGGCCATTTTCAGTATGTTAAAGTATCGGAGGATCGTCTGAAAAAATAAACACACAGATCCATCCGAACAGGCGATACATGAATGATCATGAATGGGCCCTGCCGTTCAAGATGTCTGGGGCTGATTTGGGAAGCTCTTTCTTGGCTCTCGGAACTGCAAATTCCAAGTCGCGATTTCCTACTCTCCAATGAGTCATCCTCAAATTTAGATCATGTCCAAATACCAAATGTGGCTGCATCCTCCGACCTGGACACTGGATTGTTCAAATTTCAATCCTTCATGAGGGATTCATGTTCCTGCACTTATTACGTCGCGGCTTCCTTTTTCCGAACACCGCCGAAGAAGGCCCGCTGCGGTAGCAAAAGCCTGGCACGTCCTGCAGTAGCATCTGGAGCTGTGGGGAAGTTGTTAGATGTTTGGCAACGCCAAATTTGTATTTTCTCAATCTAAATGATCACTATATATATAATATTACATGTATAAATATAATATTATGCATGTATATGCATGTAATATACACAAAATACGGTATCTCACTTAAAATTGCAAGTTCAGTGCGGAACACTATGATAAACCATTGGATTGTGGTTGACTCAATATTTGGGCCTTAAATGGATCCAAATGGATGAATACCTCCCTGTCAACTACCAGTAGTGGTCACATCTCCCAATCATGTCAATCCGGACAGGAAAATTCATTCAGAGACCTCCTCATTTTCATTCATTTTCAACAGTTACACAGCTGGCAATAGCTGGCAGGGTCCCAGCGACTGCATAAAACAGTACTTTGGATCTCAGAAGCTTTGCATCCCAGAAACCCTGGTTGAGTCGGGGGCCATTTTAGGGAGGTCATTTTTGTCGCAAGAAGGGATGACCACAATCCACCACACACCACAATCCACCACAACCAGCGGCACACCATCAGTGCCACACCTCTGTGGCCTCTGTGCATCCCGAGCTTTTTTGCCTTCGGTGATTCAAAACTCTTGTTGGGAAACTAACATAACTATGGAAAATCACCATTTTCAATGGGAAAATCCACTGTACAATAGCTATGTTAAATTACCAGAGGTAATTACTATAACAGGTTTAACCCAGATAGTGTTCCAAAGTCAACTTGTTGAAAGTAAATGGACCTGAGTTGCAAGATCCAAAATCTGCTCCAATATCATCAGATTTTTTCAAATGCTGCGCCATCTTTTTTCCACAGCACCATGCGCATCAGGCATGATATGGCATGATGGTGCTGCGTGAGAAATGAAGTCACGCCAAGCTCCTAAAACTGATCCATGGCGCAGGTGGCACATGAAGCCAGCTATGGCATGAGGTGCAACTCTGCCCAGCGGCTGTGGGTCAAAATTAGGGCCACCAAAAAATGATCATGGCTCTTTTTTGCCCGAATCATCCAAGTTTGAAATTGAAAATTGAGAATTTTGACCCATGCCATTGAGCCTGTAGTCTAGGCACAGTTGCACCTGAATCATTCAGGGTGCTGGGGCTATGCCTCTTCCCCAGGTGAAGCCGATGGTGTCTTAATAGGAGGCGGACAGGTCAAATTTCAGACATGTGAAGCCATCCACATTGGGATTGACGGCTTCAATTTCCACGAACCAAAGCTCACATCGGCCCAGCGACCACTCAATTCCGCTGCATTTGGGTTCGCAGTGATACCAGCTGCAGGGCAAACCTGTCCTCGCGGCACAATATGCTTTACACACCTCAATATCAGTGACACCCGTCACAACCTCATAATGTTTTGGATGGTTGTCACTACTGGATCTCCCCCGACAGGGGTGAGTTGTGCCTGGAGGACCCACTGGAACCATTTTGCTGATGGGCCAACCATAACGAAGACACGTGAACTCGCCCTTCTCCACTGGGATCTCCTTAAATGCATGCATGCCCGTGCATTTCATCCAGATCTCACAGCGCCCTGCACTGTACTCAATTCCGGTGCAAAAATCGGTGCGCTCGCATAGGTCTTTGCATTCTGATAGGGAATGGATGTTATGAACGCGGTAATAGTCGGGATTGTTGTCAGAACTGTTGTCGGCCCGACAAGCATGGTTTCCAGGGCCACCCACGGGCTCCCATGCTCGGAGGTCGGGTGGATAGACAAAAGATGAGCCGTCTCCAACCGGGTGCCATTTCTTGCCAGTGGTCAAGTTATAAGCACCGTTCTGGACAATCTCATATCCTGGG